CCAAACATTCAGCTTTCATATGCACCTTTTGGATTCATTCTAGGTATTATAGTTTTCGAGCAAATCAATGATATGTAAAAACACTGCTTTTTCGAGCATTTTTTAAACTTTGAACAGGAATTACAGCCAAACGGCTAAAACCACAGTAATATATCGATACATGCTAGATTCCCCAAACATTCAGCTTTCATATTTATCTTTTGAATCTATTCTATCTTTTATAGTTTCCGAGAAAATCAATGAAATGTGAAAACACTGCTATTGAATATGTAGCGTGTATTATGGTTCTAGTAGCGTACAACATCAGATGTTTGGCGCTGTAAACATTCTAACCTATCAATTAGCTTTCCAATTCGATTGGTTTGTGCCTTTGCCAGTGCTTGCGTCTGTTTGGGTAATTTTGCTTATTTAATTAAGTTTAATTGATCTTTGAGCGATGGAGACTGTTCCAAAGGATTTGAGAGGACTCAGGGCATGCTTGGTTTGCTCCCTTATTAAGGTAAACAAAATAATCAATAACGATTTGTATGTTTTTTAATGTTAATTGTTTTCTGTTTATAGACTTTTGATCAGTTTGAAAACGATGGATGTGATAATTGTGATGATTTTCTGCGAATGAAAAGTAATAAAGATAATGTGTACGACTGCACTAGCTCCAATTTTGATGGGTACGTTTATATGGTAATAATCAAATATTTCAATTCTAAATGTAATATGTATAAATATAATATATGCTACAACTTTTTCCTTTTTTAGAATGATAGCTGTGATGAGTCCGGAAGACAGTTGGGTCTGTAAATGGCAGAGAATCAGTGAGCGATTAAACAAATTATTTTTCATATTTTCTAATTTGTATAATTTTTGCAGGTCGATTTTGTAAAGGAGTATATGCAATTTCTGTGTCGGGTAGATTACCAGCTGGTATTGTAAGGGAAATGAAGAGCAGAGGATTAATCTACAGGCCGAGAGATACAAGTCAGCGATAATGTGTGTTTCATAAAAATTTATATTATTAATATTATTTTTTTTGTAACAATTCATTATACATAATACAACAGTAGTGTTATGTGTGTGTGAAATACAACCCTACGCCAAGAGATTTAATTTATGTCGGAAAGGCAAAGTTAAGAAAATTAAAGGAGACGTAATAATTAATAATAGTTATTTGAAATTATATAAAAAAAAAAGAAAAAAAACACATAATTGTATAGATAAACCCGCTGCATGAGCAAACCCTCGATTCTCTCTCAATTAATAAATATTCGAAATGGTTTTCGATATTGAAATGTTGCTCTAGGTGGTCTCGGTTATCAGGCAAGACAGGTTTTTGATTTTGTCTTCGACTAGAAACATATTTCCATTATTTATTTCCACGCAACGTTTCCACATTATTTATGGAAGAGGCTGGTGGTTTTGGTGAACATTGCTGCTGCTGCTGCGTCCCGGGTATCGTCCAGATCCTCGTGCGTCTGCTGTCCTTCAATCTTCGCCTGCTGTCTGGCGTTTTCCAAGAAACTGGCGGCTCCAGCGAACTTCTGTTCCAAGAATCCACCAGCCTTGCTGCCGAGGGCTTGCACGTTGCTCTCCAGTGCTTTCGCCTTCTCCGCCAGTGCCCGTTTCGTCTCCTCCGCATATTTATCTGCATCGGATAACTTCTGGCTGACTCCTTCGGCGAACGCGTGAGTTTTCTCCTCCACCTTCTTGTTGATATCCTCGTTGGTTTTTTGCAGCTTGTGATCCATCGATTTACCGAAGTTCTGCACTCCTTGCGCGACACCCTTCAGTCCCTCATCCACGGCCTGCTTCTTCTCCGCAGCGTAGTCCCTCACAGTCGTCGCGCTCGTCTGGATTCCTCCGATCAGAGCTTCCTTCTTTTCATCGGCCGTCTTCTTCGTCTCCTGCAACTTTTCGCTGACAGTCTCTGCAGTCTGATGCAGTTTCTGATCCACAGCCTTGCCGAAATTGTTGAGACCCTCCGCCATCGCGGCCTTTTTCTCCTCGGCCGCTTTACTGGTCTCTTCCAATTTAAGATTGATGTTAGCTGTCGTCGTTTTCAAACCTTCACCCAAAGCATGCTTCTTCTCAGCAGCGTAATCTCGGACATTCGCAGCGGTGTTCTGGATTCCGCTCGCCAGAGCCTCCTTCTTTTGTTCCGCAGCCTTCTTCGTGTCTTCTAAACGGTCGTTAATATTATCAGCGGTTTGATGCACTTTCTGATTCACGTTTTGTCCGAAACTGTGCAGACCTTCGGCCATCGCAGCTTTCTTCTCTGCGGCAGCCTTATTGGCATCTTCCAACTTTTGATTGACGTTAGCAGCTGCAGTCTTCAGTCCTTCATCCATAGCGTGTTTCTTCTCCGCAGCGTAATCTCTGACATTCGTAGCGGTGTTCTGGATTCCACTTGCCAAAGCTTCTTTCTTTTGTTCAGCAGCCTTCTTTGTGTCTTCCAAACGATCGTTAATATTATCAGCAGTTTGATGCAACTTTTGATTAACATTTTGTCCAAAGTTACTTAAACTTGCAGCCATCGCAGCTTTCTTCTCTTCTGCAGCCTTATTGGCATCTTCCAAATTTTCATTGATGTTGGCGCTGGTACTCTTCAAACCCTCATCTACGGCTTGTTTCTTTTCCGCTGCGTAATCTCTTACGTTCGTTGCGGCAGTTTGAATTCCACTTGCCAAAGCTTCCTTCTTTTGTTCAGCAGCCTTCTTTGTGTCTTCCAAACGATCGTTAATGTTGTCTGCAGTTTGATACAACTTTTGATTAACATTTTGTCCAAAGTTACTTAAACTTGCAGCCATCGCAGCTTTCTTCTCTTCTGCAGCCTTATTGGCATCTTCCAACTTTTGATTGATGTTGGCGCTCGTATTCTTCAAACCTTCATCTACGGCTTGTTTCTTTTCCGCTGCGTAATCTCTTACGTTCGTTGCGGCCGTTTGAATTCCACTTGCCAAAGCTTCTTTCTTTTGTTCAGCAGCCTTCTTAGTGTCTTCCAAACGATCGTTAATGTTGTCTGCAGTTTGATGCAACTTTTGATTAACATTTTGTCCAAAATTACTTAAACTTGCAGCCATCGCAGCTTTCTTCTCTTCTGCAGCCTTATTGGCATCTTCCAATTTTTGATTGATGTTAGCCGTCGTCGTTTTTAATCCCTCATCTACAGCATGTTTCTTTTCCGCTGCATAATCTCTAACGTTCGATGCGGTCGTTTCAATTCCGCTGACCAAAGCTTCCTTCTTTTCCTCAGCAACCTTCTTCGTGTCGTCCAACTTTTGGTTCACGTTCTGTCCAATGTTATGTAACCCTTCGTCCATGGCGTGTTTCTTTTCAGCCGCGAAATCTCTCACATTGGATGCAGTTGTTTGCAGACCGGTCGCCAAAGCGTCCTTCTTCTCTTGTGCAGCCCTATTGGCATCTTCCAACTTTTGATTGATATTAGCACTTGTACTCTTCAGTCCTTCATCCATAGCGTGTTTCTTCTCCGCAGCGTAATCTCTGACATTCGCAGCGGTGTTCTGGATTCCACTTGCCAAAGCTTCTTTCTTCTGTTCTGCAGCCTTTTTGGTGTCTTCCAAACGATCGTTAAAATTATCAGCGGTTTGATGCAATTTCTGATTCACGTTTTGTCCAAAGTTATTTAAACTTGCAGCCATAGCAGCCTTCTTCTCTTCCGCAGCCTTACCGGCATCTTCCAACTTTTGATTGGCGTTAGCAGCAGCAATCTTCAGTGCTTCATCCATGGCCTGCTTCTTTTCCGCCGTGTAATCTCTCGCGTTGGCCGCCACGGTCTGAACGTTTCCGACGAAAGCATCCCTCTTTTCTTCAGCCACCTTCTTCCCATCCTGCAGTTTCGCTGTCACATCGTCGACGGTTTGATCGACGCTTCGGCCGAAACCGTGCAGTCCCTCAACGACGGCCGCTTTCTTCTCCTCCGTGGCCCTCTTCGACTCCTGAATTCTCTGCTCGAGATTCCTTCCGAACTCTTGGATGCCCGCATTCTTCTCCGCGGCAAACTCCTTCGTTCCGTCCAATTTGTGGCCCAGGTAATCTCCGGTCTGTTGGAGCTTTTGGTCGACGTTGTCGTGCAGAGCGGTCTTCATCTGCTTCACATCGTCGCCAACCTTTGTTGCCGTCTGCTTGAGTCTGTCGTCGATGGCTTTGGCGTCTTCGGCCGCAGCCCTTCTCGTCTCCTCGTACTTGCGACCGACGTTATCCGCCGCCCTCTTCAGACCATCATCGACGGCCGCTCGAACGTCTTCCTTCTTCTCCTGCGTGTATCTTCCCGCTCCATCCAGACCGCTCTCGATCCTCTCGCCTGTCTGCTTCAGTTTGCATGCGAGCGTCTGATCGGCTTCCCTCAGGTCGTCCTTGATCGCCTTTCCCAAATCTTTGCTCTCTTGCGCTAAACAATAAACAAAGACATTAATTGATTAAGATTACGTCACGCCAATTTATTTATTTAATTATCCGACGTTGCTCAGCAACTTACGCAATATCTTCCTTCTGTTACCATAGCAGCGTTAACAAAACAAAAGTATATTATTTATATATATATATATTAATCGATTATTATTTGTTTTAGATTGATCAGTACCTGCTGTTGCGCCAAGAGTGTTGAGGTCATCCTGCGCTTGAACCTTGGCCTTGTCAAGGTCCTCCTCGGCAGCCTCCGCCACCTCCGTTCTTCTCCTCTGGAAGATCGAGCCGATCTTGCAGCCGAGGCTTCTCATGGACGCTACGAAAGAAACGAAAATTGTAATGCAAATGATCACATCACCTGGATCTCAATGACATAACGCTGAGCGTGAATCAGAGAGAGTTCTGGTCGTTGCGGCCTTGGGAGGCGCTCGCGCTGAGTTCACGCCGCAAGAATTTAACATAAATAACGACAAGCGGTAACGTATATAATGATAATAATAATGGTAAGGTGCAAAGAGCGATTTGCTTTAGCCCTGACAGCGCAAATATCCTTGAAGTGTCCTAATGTCGCGCAAATTCCAGATGCGAAAGAAACAAATTTCGTGCACCAACTGCGCCGCATTATCGGTGCGTTTTTTTTGGCGGATTCGGTCATCGGTTTATAAAAAGTCCGCGCGCGGTTATTTTCGACCGCACGGAGAGAGAGAACAACAATATTTTTGTTGAGCTTTACATGGAAAATAACCGCGTCGCGCGAAATATTCGGTAAACAGCATTTGTTTGTTGCGTTTCTTCGACGATTCCCAACGCCGGCCTCCTTCGTATTTATAGAGAAATTGCATCGTTCCGTTTCGACGACGACGCACACATTGATCAATTGCTAAACTTATTTCCAATTAAAAATTAGATCCAGATTGCTTAAATGAATCCTGCGGGAGCTTTGGCGCCGATCGATCGTGAAAGTGATTGTAAATTGCGTGCGTATAAATATATATTTATAGGCTGAGCGTAATGCCAAATGGCCGAACGGTATAAAAAAAATAATTTGTATAAATACGTGCGCGAAGAATGCACCATTCTTGTTTTATAACTAACTTGCGCCAAAAATAAATATTACAGGAATAAAAAGAAAATATACAACGAAGTAAAAGCAATTTTAAATTTAGGTTTTCCTGTGTGATTCACGCGATTCTCTAGCCACTGCATAAGCGTCGCATAATGTTAATCCGCACTAACTGCATATTTTATATACAGTGGAACCTCGCTTAATGAATTGTAAGAAAAATTACTCGCTTAACGAGTTGTCGTGTCCCGGGATGGAATATCTCTGGACACTGTGGAATAATTTGTTGTATTGTCGATGTGGTGTCCTAGTGGGTTTTATGGAAGAGTCTTAGATTAAAGTCAGTGTATTTAATAGTATTTATTTAACACTTAGATGCTTCAGTGTCTTAATCTAGCTTCCAGTTACTACAAGCTTAGGTTGCTGGTCTTGAGTAGAATAAAACTAGGACTAGGTTCTTCCTATAACTCACATGAGTTTCGGACTAACTAGGACTAAGTTCTTCCTAGGACTCACATAAGTCTCGGACTAACTAGAATTCACTGAAAATAACAAAAAGTGTTGGCGTTAAAGGCGCCGGCGGGAGTTTTTATGTTAGCCCTTATTATTTTATACATGTTTATGTATGCAAGTCATTAAGACTTTGAACAAATACCACTTACGAAGTGGCCATAACTAATCATCGTGTAACGACTATGCTTAATCAACATGTTGTGCACAAACTCAAAGGACAAATCATAGAGTCATAGTCCTAGCTAGTAGCTAGTCCAAGTTAGTTTTAGTCTTAGTGGAGAGTCCTAGTTAGACTCATAAAAACCCTAGTAACAAATCTAGCAAACTGGAATCTAGACATAGAAGTTATTAATAAACTTATAGTGAATAATAACGTGTTTATTATCATAAAAACTCCAACTTCACCTCTAGCATTCCTTAAAAACTCTACTAGGACTATACAACGATATAATTACTAGATATTCCACAGTGTCCAGAGATATTTGAATCCCGGGACACGACAGTAGAGTAAAACTAGGACTAGGTTCTTCCTAGGACTCACATGAGTCTCGGACTAACTAGAACTTACTAAAAATAACAAAATTGTTGTCTTATATGTAAGAAGACGTACTGAATACAGAATAATATTCTAAGGCTAATTTGCCATAATAAATCTTACAATAAAACTAGCAGAATATGAGAAACCAGAGAGTTTTAGTTAGTTTTAGTCTTAGTGGAGAGTCCTAGTTAGACTCATAAAAACCCTAGTAACAAATCTAGCAAACTGGAATCTAGACATAGAAGTTATTAATAAACTAATAGTGAATAATAACGTGTTTATTATCATAAAAACTCCAACTTCACCTCTAGCATTCCTTAAAAACTCCACTAGGACTATACAACGATATAATTACTAGATATTCCACAGTGTTCAAAAGATATTTGAATCCCGGGACACGAGATTAAAACTAAGACTAGGTTCTTCCTAGAACTCACATGAGTCTCGGACTAACTAGGACTCACTAAAAATAACAAAATTGTTGTCTTATATGTAAGAAGACGTACTGAATACAGAATAATATTCTAAGACTAATTTGTCATAATAAATCTTACAATAAAACTAGCAGAATATGAGAAACCAGAGAGTTTTTCCAAAAAGTTTTTTACCTCCATTCAGGTCGATAAACTTGTCGTGGGAACTTTCCATAAGACTGTACTTGGTATACAGTACTCATAGTATTTATTAGTATATATATATATTAATAATAAAGTGATTGGACACAACAGAGTGACGATGAGAAGAGAAGTCCCGGATTGTGCGCCTGCCACATCATTTTCAAAACTTGTTTATACATATTATGTGTATTTTTTAATATATTAACCATCTTCGATCTTTTCTATGTCATCTTTGTTTAAAGCGAACTATACTTTGCAAATATAATTTGTGTTTGCTGTAAATGAAAAACACAAATGTTTTGTGTCCAACCATTATTATAATATATAAACACACTATGTACGCTTTTTTATATAAACAAATATTAAAAGTATAAAGAGACTTCCAACAAGTCCCCGATTTGATACAAGTAATATAAACAAATATAGACTCACTTCACCGTGTGTGAATTGGAAAACAGTTTCTAGTTTTAGTGGTCATTCTAGTTGCATCTTAATGTTGTTTGTGATCACAAAATTTCCAAACTTGTGTTCAGACATGTTATTTGTGTGTTTTTTTTTGTGCAAAATGTAATAAAACTTGCATGTCTCCGAATAAAAAGCCATAGAATAAACATAACAATAGATATGAAAAGCAAAATCATGAAAAATTGAGACCAAGTTATAGTTTTTTCTCCGGCATGGAACGGATTATTGTAATTTACATTAGTTTATATGGGAAAACGTGTTTCACTATAAGAGTAAACTCGTTAAGCGAGGTTCCACTGTATATATTTAAAACTAAATCTTAAAATAAATGGGATTGCGACTTGTATAAATAGAGAAACATCAATTAAACTTAATTGCAACGCTTTTCTGATTTAAGCTTAATTAAACAATTATATCTTAAGTGATACAATTATATCTTCATACCTATTTCATTACTTATAGTATTAGCTTTAAAATAAATATTAATTTTCATTTGAGTCTTTCGTAGTTTTCAAGATATAGATAAAAATGTGAAGACACTACTTTTTAATAATCTTTAATTAATTTTATCAAATTTTGCAAGAATATCATGCACAATTAGTAAAAGTTACAATTATATTATTATACTCATTTCATTACCTATAGTTTTAGCTTTAAAATAAATATTAATTTGTATTTGGATCTTTTGTAGTTTTCAAGAAATAGGTCGAAATGTGAAGACATGTTTTTCAATAACCCATAATAAATTTATTTAAATTTTGCAAGAAAATCGTGTGAAATTCATGAATGATACAATTATATCTTCATACCTATTTCATTATTTATACTTTTAGCTTCAAAATAAATATTAATTTTCATTTGAGTCTTTTATAGTTTTTAAGATATAGATAAAAATGTGAAGACACAACTTTTTAATAATCTTCAACTAATTTTATCAAATTTTATAAGAATATCATGCGAAATTAGTAAAAGTTACAATCATATCATTCTACTTATTTCATTATCTATAGTCTTAGCTTTAAAATAAATATTAATTTTTATTTGGATCTTTTGTAGTTTTCAAGAAATAGGTCGAAATGTGAAGACATGTTTTTCAATAACCCATAATAAATTTATTTAAATTTTGCAAACTTGTGTTCAGACATGTTATTTGTGTGTTTTTTTGTGCAAAATTTAATAAAACTTGCATGTCTCCGAATAAAAAGCCATAGAATAAACATAACAATAGATATGAAAAGGAAAATCATGAAAAATCGAGACCAAGTTATACTTTTTCTTGTCCGGAATTTACATTAGTTTATATGGAAAAACGTGTTTCACTATAAGAGTAAACTCGTTGAGCGAGGTTCCACTGTATATATTTAAAACTAAATCTTAAAATAAATGGGATTGCGACTCGTATTAATAAAACATCAATTAAACTTAATTGCAACGCTTTTCCGATTTGCGTTAGTGAACTTGCGCTTAAATTAACATGAATCTAAAACCGGTCATTACTTTAGGCTTAATTAAACACAGCAAAAAGTAACTGTTTTTTCTTTTTATTAATTCAAATTAAGAGCTAATTGCGTGAACCAAGAATGCATTATTTAATCATTGTTAAGTTTACTTTTCAAGATTTGTATATTTGTTCAGGAAATTTAAAACAGAATATTCTATTTATATATACTAATCTACTTAATTAAAGATCAGTATTACTATTTTCATTGTTGTGCGTTTCGGTAATCAGAAACTGGATGGTTGTAATCGGTGATTTTCTGTACTTCGCGTGCAAAAATTTGCTTACATCAAAAGTGTATACACACACACACACTCGATCTCTGCAGTAAACAATAATTTGCGTGTGCATGTAAAAAAACAAAGATCAAGTTGCGTAAAATAGTAAACGGAACGTTTTGATTGGTGTTTTAGGGTTGTTCCAAAACAATCGCCATGGCAATTAAAAAGACGATTAATTAATTTCCGAGCGGTGCTTAATTACTGCATTATTCATATCTTAATGATGATGATGATGGAGGAATGAACACACGTTTCGTTTCATCATCGAAGGGAAAATCATTTTTTTTGTTTAATTAGTTTATTTTGACTAATCTGCATTAGTCGTCGCCTTTGCAAATTATCAGGCGTTTCGTTAATCTCGCTGTTTACATAACTCGCCCCCATACGTCTAATTGCTATGCTCTCTTGCCTAATTGTTAATTTGCAATTGATTCATAATAGAAATCTGCTTGATGTTCGCTTTATTTAACAGTTGAGAATGCAATTTCCGCTGTGCGTGCGGACGCGTAAAGATAATTATCAAATATTTTCAAGTTCTTCTTTTTTATTTAAGTAAAAAGAGTGGAATGTAAAGTAGTGTCAGCGATGATTATAGTCGATGACGTGATGCAAGTTGTACAATTTCAATACCTAGGTCATCTTAGGCGGCGCTGAAGAAGTAATGACGTAATGTCATCATCATCATCTTATTATGAAACTTCAAAATTACCATGGAAACTAAAGTTAAAATTTGCGACTTACTCGAGAATGCGGAAAACATGTTGTCCGTGCCGGTTCGAAAACAAATGAATAAAATAATAATTAAGTAATTCCGATGTGTGTGCTGTCTTCTGCGGTCTTCTGCTTAAGTCACACTCTCTTCTAACTCTGTTAACGCTCGGCTCGCGTCTAAAAATACGAATCGCGTACGGGCATATCGCTCGCCTCGAATGGTGTTCAGAGTCGAATCGGTCCGACTGACCTTTCTAAAAAAGCGAATCGCGCGACGCAGAATCTACTTACTCATACTTTTTCTCTCCTTTCCGCATTCGATAAACCCGATCGCGTCGTCTCTCTCTCTCAGCTCCACCGGTCATCCAGTTGGCGTTGGCGGGAACAATTGTTTACGCTGCATTCAATCGCAATTTAGCAATTACACCGATTTCGCTGGAAAACCAACTTGTTCGTGCTCATCTTTATTTTCGGTCGAATGAAACAACTTTATTTGTTTTTTTTTTACACTTGCAGAAGGAATTCTGTGCATGAGTCAACTCTGTAAATACAATTAGATGCTGACGTACTAAATCATATAAACGCATTTGCATTTGAAAATAATGATAATTTATGCAATGATCATTTGTTTCGTTTTTGAGAAACACTGCTGTATTTATTAGTGTTTGAAAATGATGGGAAATAAATTGCGCGCGCTCGTTTGGTTGCCTATAATGAGGGATTTAAATAAAAATAAAAAATATCGATCAGTAGGCTTCGGATCAATTATTTGATTAGATTCGGATGTGCAATCACTGAGATTTGCGTGCAAAGTCGACTGACTTCTGTTTCCTTGTAGATGGAATGCACGCACGGCTATCGCGATGGGAATGTGTTTCGTGCGTGTTTTCGTGCCGCCAGAAGCGCGCATAAATCACAGAACTGCGACGAAGGTTTCGATAATGGGTGGCATAATTGCAATTGTAATTTTGGAAAAAGGGAAGCGGTTTCCCAAGGTAGAACAGAGAAGTAATTGGTAAATGTAATATAATGATGTTGGTGGTGGTGGAGTTGGAGGCGGCGATGTTGTAGCGAAGCGGAAGCGGAAACGCCGCTGCAATAGTTGCTGCAGTTGCGGCAAATACTGCGCCATCTGTTGCGCCGCCCCCGCCTAGTTTCGAGACGCCTCCTGCCGACGCCGCCCGCCACCTACAAATAACCGCCACCCCCTCGAGATCTGACGTTTCCGTGTTTAACCTAGAAACGTCAAAGTGGAAGTATAAGAAGAATAAAAGGGGGCCGTGAAAGAGCGGAGCATCCAGAGGGCGGCGAACAAGAGGAGGAGGTTCTTCTGAAGAGGTAGACGGCGGTGAAAGATGGACAGCAAAAAGAAGAAGGACAAGAAGAAGAAGGTGCGCACCGAATTGGACGCGGTGCATCCGAGGTTCACCACCCCCATCGACGAGGAGGAGATGCTCAAGTACGAGACGGAGCACCACTACTACTGCAACACCTGCAAGGTATTCATAGCGCCGACGAATCTCGCCCTGAAGATCCACTTCAAGGAGGAGATCCAGGATCATCCTGCGTCCGGCTCGTGCCTCTACTGCAAGGGGGACACGTTCGTGTACAAGTTCAACGGGAACATCAGGTACTTCCACAACTGCGCCGACTATCTGAACAAGAGGGACTCGTAGCTTTCCCAAACACAGAAGTGTTGCCATCAGCAAATGCATTTTGCACACGATTACTGCAGCTTCCCATTAGCTGTTGTTCACTAGACGTTCCTGCTGCACCACATCCGACACCAATTTGGACAACATTCCAGGATGTATTTACAAAAGAGTAAATATTGTTTTCAGTATTATTAACTCTAAGTACCGTTCACTTCTGATAACTTGCCATTATTTATTTTATAATTTGCAGAGTGTCTCAAGCGTAAACACAATTAGTTAACTTGTCAAAGTGCAAATCTCTTATAATAGCATTGAATTTGTCATAGTGTACAAACTAAGATAATTTAGTAAACATTCCAATTAATATATATTATAGTAAAACGTACTAAAACTAAATATTGAGATTAATCACATTATCAATTAAAGCGTTGTAAGAATTTGAGACGCTACAAATATTATAATATTCTCACATAGACAACAAAATTAGTTTATATAAAGACTTTATAAAGTTTGTTTTTTTGCGGACTTGAGGCACTAAAGACGACAAACAAAATGTTGATGATGATAATACTCGTGATTGGCTCAATTTTCTTTTTCACGGACTGATATAAACAAAAGAAACAATTTATACGCGAGCGGAGCAGCGCACACCTCGATCAATGCAATTCATATATAAGACTTGTTACCTTCATTATTATTATTACGCTCTTCCAATTGATTTGCGTTGCTTCTACTTGCAAGCGATCTCTGCTATGTCTGTCGGTGTCGTTTCTCATTTACTCATTGAAATTAGTACTAAATTATTGATATTATCGTATAGATTCGTTTTTCATTTGTTATATAGTCGTACGTCGTGTTATTGTTTATAGTTTTTCGTTTGTTAGAGACAAGGGTCAATTAAACATGCAGTTTCGATAAATGTAATTCGCACAAAATGAGAAAAAAGAAGGCGGTGGTAATAAGATATGTCGAAGAAATACGGTAGCAAATCAAGATTGCTGCATTGCGTGCATATATATATATACTAAATGTTAAGTACTTCTTTATAATTAATTGATAAGATGCAAGAACACAAGATGTTTGTTGGCGATGATGATGATGATCTTACACACTCTCCGGTTGTTCGTACTACTTTCAGTTTTGTATTCTTGCATGAATTGATTCGTCCCAGTATTATTAATCAAAAGAAAGAAACTTTATGGTAATGAATATTATTAATAATTGCTCTCGCACACTTGACTATTATATTGAAGCTTTACGCAAAAGTTGTTTGTTTTTATATATATATATATAAAAATATATGTAATTGTTTGCGATGATTTTAGGTGAAAAAATATGTATAAGTAGCGGACGCAGTACACTTACTGCATGTAGCGAGCAAGCAACACTGTGAATAACGAATATATTATATAGATATATATATATGTAATACAGAAGATCAAATCGTAGATGGTTTTTAAGTAACGTATGTAACAAAAGAGAAGTAGTCGTTAGTTTCCGTGACGCGCGCGCGTTTATAGGAAGAGTTGGATGGAGGTGGACGGAAGGAAGGAAGGAAGAGATTATATTTTTGTCAATGTTAATAACCGAAGATGGATTTATTTTTTTAAATGTGGACGCGAGAACAATGTCGGATGTGTACAAAAGGATGTGTATGACAATGAGTTGATAATCATCGTTTTTTGCGTTGCATTCTTTCCTCCTTTGTTCTTATACCTTTCTTATACGAGGGCAGAAACATCGTTGAAACCGTTCTTCTTGATTTTTCAGTTCTAAAACCCACCCCAACCTGTTTTATTTAATTTAATTTAATTTAATTAAGTACCATTTAAAGTTTACGTTTGTTGAATGGAAAGTACAAAGTGTTATATATCTCATGCGTTCATTTATTATGTTCAAATATATATATATATTAAAAAAAAAGAAGTATATTATATATATAATGTTAAAGGTTGGCTGAATAAATATATCGTAGGAAATTATCCTATTTACTTACTCTTTTTACCTGATACTGGCGATTTAGACAAAAAAAAAATGTTGGGAAACACTGATGTTATTTTATTGTGTGGTCAACCGTACGCACGTGCACGCAACGTAAAACGTGTGCAACTGGTTGTCTACATTGCGTTGAATCCCATGCGTGAGTTGAGGTTAAGATTGGTTTATTTACGTTTGAAATATGAGCGAGGAAGCTGTTGTCGTTCCCGCTGAAGATGTTCGCAAAGAGGAGGAAGATCCTTTTGCGTACCTGGAGAGGGACGAGTTCACCTCCGAAAAGTTTAAAATCGAGATAAAAAATTTGCCCAGGTATTATGGAATTCAGGTACGTGATAAAAAGATTCTTTTATATCCAATAATTAATGTCGATTATCTGCAGGAGCTGCGCAAGCTGCTGAACGAGACGCTGAAGCTGAACTCGTCCAAGTTGAAGACGCCGAAGAGAAATTCCACTTTTGCATTCGTCTGCTTTCGAAACGATGAGGATAGATGTAAGGCAATAGAAGTCTTGACTGCGTACAAATGGAAGGGAGCTGAATTGTCAGCAATTGTGAGTGGTTGATTGTGCTCAATTTTTTTTGTAAGTGGAGAATACATTTGTTTATTGTTGTTTTGCAGAATGCTAAACCTGCTCCGGATCCGTTGGTGAAGAAGCGCAGGGATGAGAATTTCAAGAATAAGGGTAACAATAAGAAGGCTAAAGTCGATGATGATAGAAGCGTCGAGGATAAATTGAAGGATTCGACTACACCCTTTTGGAATTTGCCTTACGAAGAGCAGGTAATTTTTATTTTGATTTATTTATTACTTCATTAATTGATTATGATTTGTTGTTCTTTAAGTTAGCAAAGAAACAGGAGGATATTAAAGGGATTCTGAAGAAGATTGGCAGTGATCTGTCGTATCAGAATCGCGAGTTGAGCGATTGGCTGAACAAGCAGAAGCAGTTGCACGATGGATTACCTTGCGAGTTGCTCGAAATCAGACACGCCAAAACTATTGATGGGTACAGAAATAAATGCGAATTCAGCGTGGGCATGAACGAGGAGACTGGAGAGAAAACCGTCGGTTTCAGAATTGGAAGTTACGTGAATGGAATCACCGGCGTTGGACCGATAGAAAACCTGAAACACATTCCGGATTCGATGAAGCTGGCTGCAAGGGTATGTCGAAATGATCTCTTTATTGTTTTGATAGAAATTATGATTTTATCTTTTGTTAGTTGTTCGAGAAATTCGTTCGTGATTCGGATTTGGATGTGTTCAATCCGGAAAATCAGACCGGTCAATTCAGACAGCTGATGGCTAGATCCGCCAAAGATCAGCTGATGCTCGTCGTCGGCGTCAGCCCGAAAGATGTGTCGGTGGAGAGGGTGGATCAGCTGAAGAAGGATTTGATCGAATTCTTCACAACTGGTGAAGGAAAAGAAGCCAAAGTCACGTCGCTCTATTATCAACCGCTGCTGAAGAGGTAAGCTTTCTTAGCAGATTAATAAAAAATCGTTCAAATTGTTTATGTTTTGCGAAGGACATCAAACGAGGATAGATCTTCGAAGCCGCAGCATTTGCACGGCGATACGCACATCCACGAAACTCTTCTCGGTTTGAAATTCCGCGTATCACCGGAGGCTTTCTTCCAAGTGAACACCGAAGCCGCTGAAGTGCTGTACGAATCGGCGATAGAATTGGCCGGCGCTACGGAGAAGAGCACCGTCGTGGATATCTGCTGCGGCACTGGAACCATCGGATTGTGTTTCGCAAAAGTACGTGCAAAAACCAAAGCAATCGAAATATTTTTAATTTGATAAATCTGCGCTCATTTCAGACTTGCAATCAAGTTCTCGGCTTGGAGATCATCCCCGAAGCTATCGAGGACGCCAAGCAGAACGCAATTATAAATAACATCGAGAACTCGGAGTTTTTCGCTGGTAAAGCTGAGGAGCTTCTGTATTCGGTGTTCATGAGGAGCAAAAACGAGAATATCGTAGCCATCGTTGATCCACCTAGAGCCGGATTACGTGAGTGTTTCTTGGCAACAGATGTACTTGACGTTCGGCTCATATATATATATATATTTTGTTTGCAGATAACAAGGCTATAAATTCGTTAAGGAAATTGAGGAAAATGGAGAAGCTCGTGTACATCTCGTGCAATCCGAGGCAGGCGATGAAGAATTTCATCGATTTCGGAAAGGCCGAATCGAAGACGATGCACGGAGAGCCGTTCGTGCCGGTGAGGGCCGTCGCCGTCGACCTGTTTCCGCACACGCCGCACTGCGAACTCATCATATTCTTTCAGCGATTCAACACTCTCGAGGAGACAGCTAAAGCCGTCGATGATGCAGTCTGCTGACGCGTTTCGTCGTTAGGTCAGGTGATCATTATTTTAATACAAACTTATATATTACAACAATTACAATAATGTTGACGAAACAATCTGCGAAATGTATATTGTTTTCGAAGAAAGAAAAAAAATATATATTTACTACATTTTAAACACAATCAACAAAACCTACAACTTCCTCAATCTATTCAAATTAGTTCCATAAATTAAATCGAACTAATTAACGCGCCATCGACACGTAACGTCACACCGGAAGTGTTGTTGTTGTTGTTGCTGCTGTTGTTCGCGTTGCCATAACAAAAAAAAAACATTTGCTTCGATAACATTTGCTTATCGCGGTCGCCTTGCCCTCGTCCAGAGCTCACTTATTGGAAGCAATGAGCAGAGGAAGAAAAAAAAAACTAAATAAATAAATCGTGGAACCGGACGTCCGGTTTCGGGTGCTCCGAAATGGAAACTTCCTGCGCTCTCCAAAGCAATCCCAATTCCCATTGCCGCATAACAATTGTAGGATAAACTTGCGTTTAGTGTCTTTGAATAAGCCCGATTAATTTTACGTAACATAAGGCTGTTAATTAATCTTATTCGATTCTCGCTATCTTTTCAGAAATATTATAAATAGAGCGAATTTCGTGCGAGCGAGTAAATAAATAAATAGGAATATTATTGCAAACAAACAAGTTTACTTATCGCAAGTAAATAAATATCGATTTGTAAATATTTCGATACTCTTTCTTTCTACTCTTTTTGTCTTGTTCATCTATTTTTTTTGAGTGTACACATATTAAATGTGTGTCTTTTCGTTTGTTGCTCTTCCTTTCCGTTCCTTTTCCTCGAACGAAGAGCGTGGTGCAAAATAAATAGCGAAAGTATTTATAGAAGCGACGTCGATTCTCGTAAAGTAGTGACCGCCGATGCGATAACGAAAATGCGAGAGTAGCGTGCGTGTGTGCCTGTATGTGACTTTGTTGCCGCGAAGGCCTGTTTGCGAATCTCCCGGGGCAACAATAACAACGACGGACGTGTGTTATCAATATATTTTTTTTTTGTTATTGTTGTTGTCGAGAGTGTGAGAGATGTGACCTGACGATAAGATATAGTCAATTAGTGTTGCGGCGTGTGCTGTTTCTCCACAAACTATATATTGATAAATACATGTATGTACGCATCGGCATCGTCGAAGGAAACATTAATTTCTGATTAATAATTGACGATTCGCGTTTTGCGCTGCGAATCCGATTGGATTACATTTTGTGTACATCGAAAGTTGTTAATTGATGTTGGAATAGATGGCGTCACCGCATTCGTTTCACGGGTTGTTTTGATCCAGGATCAAAGTATTTAAGGTCCAATTGGAAATCATATTTATTGACTAAAATGATGATGATGTTAATAAGAATCTAGATAAATGGATGATCAAGTAATTAAATAATGTAGAAAAGTTTAATTAATTAGAGAACACGTGTTTTTGTTAATGAATTATCAGAGAAATATTATTTATTGTTTCATTAATTAATTAATTGCTTTAATAAGTAAAACTATTTTTTTTTTGAATAGTTAAAAAAAAGTAGATGGCGCTTTGGATGGTAAAGTATTGGATTCCAATTGGATTTAAAGTTGTTTATTTTATTGGAAATATTTATTGTTGTTGTTTTTGTTGTTATTACATCAAAAGAAAAACGTTTAAAAATTAATAATAATGTGTGTGCTTTTGTTGCAGTTGTTGGTTGTTGAGGTTTGTTTGTTTGGTTGCTGGGCACGAGAGATGTCGCCAGGAGTTCCACTGGGATCGCCTCCGTTCTCACGTGTTTACAAGCAAGTATTATTACTACCGATAGAGCTGTTATGAAATCAGCCAATACATTTGCAGTGCAGGTGCCTCCCACGTTATCACCACAATCGGTCGCTGCTGCTGCTGCTGCTTCTCCTCCTGATACTTCACGTCGTGGGTAAACAGTGAGAGAAGAAGAGTGGACACACACGAGAACGAGAACAATCGGCGTTGGTCTAATCGGGGCCACGGGGGGGTAGTTTGTTGGTTGGTTGGTTAGTTGCTTATTTTGTGTGTGCGCGTAAAGTGAGTATAATATTTTGTATTGTTATTGTGTAGAAAAATAATAATAGTTGTTGTTTGCAGCAGCAGGGGAGCACGCGAGCCGGAAGAAGAGGTGTGCGAGCAGGAATTGCACATTTCGAGTCGGCACACGGGGGAATCGGATCATCATCATCGTCAACATATACACGCACTCGCAAAGAGAGAGAGTGGTGTTGCGGTGTGTTTGTACGTACGTACGAGCGATCGTCCGTCCGTCCGTCCCGTCGTCTCCTGGCCTGTCGGTGCGCGTGTTCTCTCTCTCTCTCTCTGAGTGTGTGTATGTGTGAGTGAGTGTGTGTGTTTTCTCTCCAATTTTACTAGCGGCGGCGGGCGAGAAGTGTGCGTTTGTTTTTTTGTGTGCGGTATGTTATAATATATATATATATATATATAACAACATATATATAAAAAAAAACGTGCCGTGGTGTGAGGTGGAGGAGAAGAGCCATGTCTACGTATTCTAGGACATCGGAGAGTGATGCCTGGGCGTTACTTGCACTCAAGTCGGCCCCTGCGAGCCCCTCGAAGGTGCAGTGGAGCCCCGAGGACAAGGGGGAGGCGATCGCGCGCCTCGAGGGCCGCGAGTTCGAGTACTTTGTGCGTCAGAATCGGATCACGATCGGCAGGAACAGCTCCAGGGGAGACGTGGACGTGAACATGGGACACTCCAGTTTCATCTCGCGGAAGCATCTGGAGGTCTTCTTCGATCATCCCTATTTCTACATGATGTGCAACGGAAAGAACGGCGTCTTCGTCGACGGCGTCTTCCAACGCAAGGGCGCCCCCTCCATACAGCTGAATAGAACGTGAGTCCTGTGTCTGTCTCTATCTCTCTCGGTCTTATTAGGATAGTCTATCGGTCGGTCCGTATCTACGTACAATATTGTACGTCCGACCGACACCAATGTTATGTAAACAAACTCCCGCATCCGACCAACGAAAAAAAAATCATCTCCTTCTCTGCAATACTCGTGTAGTCGACATCCATTAACTTTTTCGCTGCTCGAAACTATATGAATTCAACATGTTTACTACTGCTCTCAACCACGCATTCGTCGCGCGGGCCTTGAGGTTAACACACATGGCCTCTATTTACGTCAGGTGTTTATTAACAACAATCCCTCGTGAAAATTGCGTTGCGTTGTGCAAGAGATGAACGCTGCATGAACGGACAATAATCATGTTAGGGGGATGATTTATTATCTATCATTCATCTATTCATTCATTAGTTTCAATGAAAATCATTATTGTATTTGTTGTTTGGTTGAAATCCGCGTATCGAGCCATGCGCTGAGCAGATCGAGCACGCCGTGGACACGCGGCCGTCTCTCCTCCTCCTCCACCGCGAAATCAATTTTCCGGCCTCGCCGTCATTTCCCGACACAAACCCCTCCCACCCAAATTTGACATTTCCTCCTGTGCTCGAGGTCAGTGGAATGAAGGGAAGGGGAAGACTCAACCCTCATCATCCCTCTGGTGTTTGGCCTTCGACGGGCGCCGCGACGTCAGCAGCGCCCGCTGACGTCATCCACGACGACGACGACTTCCTATGGTCTCCGGCGTCGGTGTCGAATTCCCCCGATAACTATATGTGTGTGTATGCAGTCGAGCAGTATTGATGTCGTCGTTCGTGTACCTCAGTGGTACACGTCGTCGTCGTCGCACCATACTCCAAAAAAACAACAAAAGGAACATGTTTGGAAACATCGCGCGCGCTCCAATCCGAAGCGCGGCCGCCGCACCAAACAACAATAACAACAACAGCAGCGCCGCTCTTTACACACACACACACATTCACTGCACCACGTGGTCCTCGCTCTCCCCGAGTAGTACGATCATTACATATTACTACATACTCCATAATAATATCTCGTATGTGCGAATCCAAACACTTTCATTAACGCGTCCGACCATGCAAATTCATAGAAACTATTAAACATTTCACAATTAGCAAAAGGCAAGTTTATGTAAACCCAATTAGAAGAGACAATCTTTTCTTTTAATTCTTTGTTAAATAATAGATAGCGTTGCATCGTCGTCGTTGTCGTCACACAGACGCTAATTGTCTTGAAATCGATTAGCCGGTCGTCGTTCCTCTCCTATTTTTACACACACACACAAACGCTCTATCCTTGAGTTGAGAGGACAACTCGACCGATTGCTGCTGCGGTTTTAAACATTTAAACCTCTCAAATCCACCGATATCATTAGGCCCATGAACCTAATACGGAAATAGAAATCGATGCTCATTGTCTAAATATATATGTATGTAGCAAATCTATTTGTTTGCATTCGACGTTTGCGAATCTTGAGCTTATAAATAAACTCCCCGCGATGAAAATAACTCCGGTTGCAGAACCACTGGTACAATAGTCACAATCACGACCTACTTGGATGGAAATTGTTTCGTAACTGAACGTTGTTTTCTAGATAGTCATGATGGGATCAATGTGGAAATTGAGGCACAATCATCATCTTCTTAGTAATCAAAAGCGTGATTCGTAAAGAAAGTATTTGTTTTTTCCATTAGCCGAAGAAAACTGCAAATCACAAGAGTGAAAAGTGCAAAAGTGGTTCGGATATATCAGTACTGCTATTACTATTATCGCCTTGAAATTCGAACGCTAAGAGTGAAAATGTTGTGTTAGTACCTGTTAATTAATTTATTTGCGTTGGCCGTGCAAACAAACAAAAAGAAATCGATGGTAGTTTCCTAATTCAATTCTTCGTCATCTACGGTTGTTGCCTAGCATCCGTGTTAACATCAGTTGCTAGGGTAACAACTTTAATTTTTCGTTGACCTGTTTGTGGTGACTATCGCATAGCAACCATGTAAATAATGATGCATTCTACTCGGTTTGTTTGTTTTTCTTCTAATAATGGTTTCAGAAGAAAATGAATAATTGCTGGAATTACTTCCACCGGAGAGTGGATTATCCTCCCTGCATATTTCACGCTTTGTTAAGTCTCTGTCTGTATTATACTTCCTCCTGCTTTGGTCACTTCAATTTCAACCTTCATCATTTGTTTTTCAAGTACATATCGATTCTTGTGTTGAATATTTCTTTACCAAAATCGATGGATAGAAAAGTCAGTGTTTCGGCGAAAGTCTAAATGCAATGTCGAGTAGTAGAAATAAAGCGAAAATGTTTTTCTAAGTTTAATGTGGGAAAAACAAACCTGTAAATTTCTCGTGCAAATATTATGTTTCTCGACTCGACACAACCATTGTGTCGTTTTCTAAAAAAAAAAGAAACGAATGAAAAGGAAAAATAACGCCCGATTTACATAAGCCATTATTATCTGTGTCGGTTTTATTTTTTCTTAATGCTCTCTCTTCTATTATACTTTCAACGTTATTCTCGCCTCAATTTACATTTACTTTTTTATTTTGCTAATCGTTTAATAATTCTTTCTTTAATTGATTCTTCAATCAATGAAAGTTATTTTGTTGTTTCCACTCGATAGGAAAGTTGTTGTTGTCATTACTATTTTTGTTTTAGCAATAAAAAAAACACAAGTGATTAAGTGAAGTTGCATGAAGTCGGCCTACTTGCATATTACATAAATAATATTAGTCGTCGTTGCTAATGACTTGATTCCGTCTCTCTCTCTCTTTCTCATTATTTGATTTGTTTGAATTGTCTTTATTTGCTTTGTAACAATTTAGCTTAGCTGGTAAGAAATGTGCCTCGAATGGAAATATTTCGGTTCGGTGTTGTTTCCAATTACATCCTGTCAATTCGGTCAGCAGAATGAAGCAACATTGAAATTTATGGTAAGGCGATTTGAAATGCGGCAAATGCGAGAAAATTTAACGTTAAGTTTATAGCAGACTCCTCTGTTCCGTTTAGACTGGAAACAAATGACTAGTTTCCTGCACCGACATTTAATTGAATCAATTGGTGCGCAGCTACTACTTTTGTTTTTTCTCGTTTGTTTGTTGTTGTTGTTGATATCCTAGAATTTATAACTTAAATCGAGAGAATAATCTAGTGTGTCGGTCTGCTGTTGTTTTTTTTATATTTATTATACGTATTGGAAATGTGCGTAGTTTCTATGACAACAATAATAGTCGTCTGTTTGTACCAAGATCGCATTGCTAGGCAACGTTATTGTTTCGGTCTGGAAAACCGTCAAAACGCGACCGATCATCGTCGTCGCATGTAAATATTTACGTTTCGCTGTGCGCAAAGTGTGTACATGGAAAAATTGATAATTGCCGCGTCGCGCAAGCGGAACGGGTTTTTCAATCGCGAAGGAATGTGACGCAACCCAGAAGACGTTTCCTTTTCCAATAGAGCGCCCATCCAATGGAGATTATTCGCACGAATTAAACGTGGCTTTTCGAAATGATATTACCAGAACCGTAACGAAAGAGAGTTTCCTGCAACCATTCAATCGCGATTGCACGCGTTTCCAAGCAGCCAGCATCGTTTGTTTTTGTTTTGTTTTGTTTTTAATTTCGTATTTACGAGACGAGACCTGTTTGTAAACACTTTATAACCGGCGGCGGCTGTGGAATTCCACTTACCCACATTTTCTAACGGAACAATCGCAGCGCGCGGTCCTTTTGTTTTCCCCCCTTGTCATTTTCAAAAAATAAAGTTGGCATTAGCTGTACCTTCCATACATATGCACTAATACCAACTTTAAATGAAAATTTACATTTGGAAATTGTGAACTTGTAAATCGTATTGCTTTGCTCGATCGCACCTACACATATTTAGATTATTTACATATGAGATCATTCATGCGATTCGTGTATATATTATATTAAACACAAATATAGTAAATTGCAAATGCAAATTTCGCCTGATGAAGAAGAAAAAGGAGAAAGAAACCTTTCTTCTTCTTCTTCTTTTACTTCTTCCAACAATTTCCGAGTGCGATTGGGTAATTAAGAATGATTTATTCTGTCCATGCGAAAGCGCACTTGGATCAATTAATGTACACGTTGACATGACGACGCACATTAATAAACTTCCTTCTAGAATCTGCCGTTCTTATAAAATTGCTATTTAAATTTTACCCAAGTTATTCGTTCACTAATTCGAGTTGAATCAATATTTACTACGTATAATTCATATGAAATGTGTGTGATGTTGATGGTATGTTTTGTTATTGTTGTTTCCAAGTTTTAATTGCAGGTTGTTGTTGTCGTCGATGATTCAGTGGAAATTTCCTGATTGCGACATTATTTGGGTGTGTGTCGTAACCAGAACTCCTCGGGTTGTGTGTGTGTGTGTTTCTGCAATTGGCGCGCGTTTCTCTGCAAATTATTATTATTAACAAATGTTGGATGGACGAATTTGAGAGGGAACGATGCAGAATTGCTCCAAGATCTAGACGTGAATCATTCCTGTCGTCCTGTATTAGCTAGCGAGCAGCTAGTGTGTATTATATAGTGTGATACATTGATTATTTTTAGAGCCACGCAATGTGCTGTATATTTGTTTGTTTCCTTGCTTCATCGCTCTCTTTTGAGAGAACTTTGCATTCCACAAGAAGAGAGAGAGAGAGAAAGAGAAATAATCAAATTGTGCTTTATCCCAGAGGATGTGCTCGTATCTTTTCGTAGCATTCCATTGATTTCCAAGTAAATAAAACCTTGATTCACCTTGATTTTATCTATCTATAAGCTCTAAATATACCTTGAGAGATATATATATATATATACGTTTTGTATTTACGTGTATATACAAGCAAGGCCACCGTTGACCGACTCTGCGAGTGTGTTTATTTACTTGCTCGAAATTCGAATTTCGCGCGCCCGTCCGTTCTTTTCCGCTTTTCCACGCTTTGCAGCTTTCGCATTTCCCACTTTTTTCTATCTATCCATTTCTCTCACTCTCTCTCTCTCTATCTTTCTTGTGGTTAAGTTAAGTAATGCGCACGTGAAATGCAAGGACGCGGCGGCACTCCGCGCGAAAGGTCAACAATATTGCCGTCGTCTGATTTGAACTTTGCCTGTTGCTGCTGCTGTTGCCGTTACGCTTTCAATTCGAAACTTTTGAAATTTCTTCCAGAAAAAAAAAGAAGAAAAACCAACAATCTCTACTCTCCATTCGTTCTCCGAACTGGCACGAATCGATTTCGGCAACTGTCGGTTCCATTCGACGTTACATGACTTACAACCAATTGCAGCTGTCTGTTGTACAGTAAATAATTCTGACGTTTCTTTGTTTTTTTGTTTTTCGGTAGTTGTCGGCTCTCTTCGGGCTTTACATGAATTACATCCACTTGGATAATCGATTGATTTGTTTGTAACTATGGTAAACAAAGAAAGTTTATTTATTAATCGATATCGTTTCGCTCGCGATACGGGAAAGTCCCTTGGGTTTTTGTAGGCGGATGTCAATTGTGTAAAACAAAAGAAGAAACGCACCACACACACAGAATGTTGCATGAAATTGACGAATGTAAATTAGACGCGCATCAAACGGAAATATGCAAATAGTTTTATGTTGTTGTTTTTTTTTATGGTCGTCTCCTCCGGTTATTACATTATTTATTGCGAGTGCGTTTCTTCTACGCGAGCAGGCTGATGTCGTTGACGTACCAAAAAAACAATTGAATTGACAAATGAATTTCGGTGGGTAATCCTTGAACCCACATAGCTAGTAACGATGCTAGGATTTGATTGCTTTTTACTTCTAAAAAAGTATATTTGTATATTGTAATTTCAAGTTGTTTAATTGTTGTTGTTGTTGTTGCAGGTGTACGTTCAGATTTCCTAGTACAAATATCAGGCTGTCGTTTCAATCGTTGGTGGACGAAGCTTCCGATCCCGCCCCGAGGGTGCGCGAGGTGTCACCGGTGAGGGTGAGGGATAGGTCGGGTGGAGGAGGAGGAGGCGGTGGTGGTGGTGGTTTGCAGCCGCTGCCACCTTTGAGAATCAACATCCCCGCAGATTCGGACACGTACGGAAGTCCGTTTCCGTCGCCGACGGGCACGATAAGCGCGGCCAACAGTTGTCCAGCTAGTCCAAGAGGTAATCACGGCGGCGGTGCGCCCATCATCTTCTCATCTGACCACGTTCATCTCGCAGGTGGCCATGGTCGGAGGAATATCTCAGCAGATCTGCAGATGGTCGCAGCGTACGCCGCTCAGGTGGCACATCGCGACGAGGTCGCAGGTGGCGGCGGTGGTGTAGGTCACCACGCCCCCCAGAGCCATAGTCCTGACCATTACAGGCAACCCACATCGAATGGAAACTCAGTAAGTCGAAAAAAAGAAGATGTTAAAGGAATCGTATTTTGATATTGTTTACTCTTGCAGATACCTCCGGTTGTGATAAACGATGGGTACGGCGCGAGCGGCGGAGGTGGAGGAGGCGGTGTCGTCGGTGGTGGAGGAGGAGGAGTCGGAGGCGGAAACAAGGACGACTCGAAACCGCCTTACTCGTATGCACAGTTGATAGTACAAGCGATAGCTAGTGCTCAGGACAAGCAGCTCACGTTGTCCGGCATCTACAGTTACATCACCAAGCACTACCCTTACTATCGCACCGCCGACAAAGGATGGCAAAACTCGATAAGACACAACCTAAGTCTTAATAGATACTTCATAAAGGTAGTGAACGACGCAAGTGTAGTGGTCGCCGTTGACACCTCCCCATATATATTTGCAGGTACCTAGAAGCCAGGAGGAACCGGGCAAGGGCAGCTTCTGGCGGATAGACCCGCAATCCGAATCGAAACTAATTGAACAAGCATTTAGGAGGAGACGGCAGAGGGGAGTGCCATGCTTCAGAGCACCGTTCGGTCTTAGTTCCAGGTACGAACTAATTATCACTAATCATCTTGCGCACAATGGAATCTTTGTTTTCTTTGCTCAGAAGTGCACCGGCTTCGCCCAGTCATGTGAGCATGTCTGGATTGATGACGCCAGAGTGCCTGTCCCGAGAGGGATCGCCCGCCCCCGAGCACATGCTCGAGGTCAGCCAATCGGCGCCCGGAAGTCCCGGAACTGTAGCGTTCCCTGGTTCGTGTTCGATGATCGGTCATCAGCAGATGAACGCCCTCGTCGGTGCGACGAAGGCCCGCCTCCGTTTGCCTACGCGAGAGGAGGCGGAGTTCATGCAGCAGGGCACCTCCGGTCTCTCCACCAACGGCCAGGAGCACAGGGAAGGTACTAAACATGACCACGCCCATACCAAAGTGCAGCTCTGCAGTAGTTTTCGTTTCTTCTTTCAGAGAAATTCCACATAGTTAGTTCGGGCATCGTCGAGGAGAGATCCATGTCACCTGCGTCCTTCTCGCCGCAACCGGTGATCGTGCAAACAGCTAGTTATTCACCTTATAGGTAAGTAGAATATTGTTATCGGATTGTTATCGTAATTTGTGTTTGATTGTGTGTGTATGGTTTTTGCAGCAATCAAGGTATGGATTTGAAAAGACATATGGATGAGCAGAGCGTAGAGAGTCCGAGCAGCACGGGCGGCGACAATCAGGACATGCAGGAACCGGAAATCAAGAGGCCGCGTTCCGATCAGCACTACGAAACTGAATAGATATGGTAGATATTGATAGATAGAGAGAGAGAGAGATGCGGGAGGGAGACGACGAGAGATGAGACGACAACGACAACGGAGATCATACGTACTATGAAGAAAAAGAAGAAAATACTATAAAAAAAAATAAAGAAGAAGAAGCGCTTGAGAAACACTTTATTCTCATCAAGATATATTGATTATATTTATAAAAAGAAGCCAAAAAAAACAAAAAAAAAACAAAACAGAAGACGAGCAATCGTGCAATAATAACAACAAAGGTAAAAAATAATTAAATATGTCGTAACAACAATTGGTGAGAGGGAGAGAGAGAGAAGAAAGCCGAGGAATGAGAAACGAAATGTATGGAAATGGCCGAAATGCAAACAAAAGAAACGCACGCACGCGTTTATTATGTAAAAATTGACGAAATTTCTGTACATAGATATTTCACGCTCTAAATATCGATAAATATTACAATCGTTGTGCTGCTGCTGCTGCTACTAATACTATATAGTAGTGGTAGTATAAACGATATAACTATCTTTTATCAATTTGATTTTACACGAACTTTATCGAGATTGCGCTGGAATCAATCTCAATGGACGAGACCTTTTTGTGTCGGGGTGTGAAGAGACGCGACGGAAATCTTCTATATGTATAGTTTTCTTTTATATCAAAGTATCTAAGATTTCTGTTGAGGAAAAGGGTCAGAGGGTGGGAATATACACACACACATACATTTGGATCTTCTTTATGTATATATACAACATATATATATTAACATGCATATGTGTGTTGTGCACGTGCGATGCATAATGCATTTTATTTATTTATTTATTAAGTTTATTTTATTTTATATCGATATAATAATAGAAATTCGATCGATTGCTTGATTTTTGCATGTTTATTATTATTATTCTTCTGTTGAGTTTATTTACAAATATATTATTAAATAATATTATTTACACAAAATTTGGACACAAATGAAAAAAAAATGTGAACAGGGATAGCCGGTGGGTGAATATAAAAATCATTGATAATCATATAAATGATTGATTTGGAACTCTGCGAGATTGATATTGTTATTATTTCTTTTGTTTTCTTGCGTCGTGGGAGGAGTTGAGAATCGGGGGGAGGAGCGGATCACTTGATTCCATATAGTTTTTGACCAACTGTTTTATGGAAAAAGTATTGGCTCCACCCCTCTCTCTCACAGATGTATATATATATATTTGAACGGTCCGAGTGGTGCAACTCGATGGAGGTCGTGTAAAACGAAGCGAGTTCATTTATTTCGTTATTGTTTTGTTTTTTTTATTAATTATTCTCGCAACGTTTGCTGCGATTCCAGTGCATTTATCGATCAAAAAAAAAAAAATATATATGAAAGAGCAGCGCTGGCGATGTTCATCATTTGTTTCTCGTTGCTTTGGCGTCGTGTTGGTCGGTCGGTCGGCTGTTTTACGATATTTTTTTATTTTTTTCCTTTACGTTTTCGCTCGTCCAATCCGAAATAAAGGAAAGAAAATCCCCGCCTCCTCGATACTTTTGACCACACCCACCGCCGCCCCCTCCTATTCCATTCATTATTTTCCATTCTCTTTTATTTACTTATGATTATTACTTTCTGATTGACATTTTCGTTCCGAATTTTTTTGTTTTTCTTCTTCACTGTTGGCGATTTTTTCTGTTTGTTGTTGAGCTGCAAATGAAATGGATTATGTTACATATATACATATATTATGATGATGATACGATTTAAGAATAAATTGATTTCTGTGGAAACGGTGGATTTTTGAGTAGCTGGCTTAGTTGGGAATGCGCCGTTTTCGCACGTCCGTTGATTACGATGATGATCGTTGTTCTCGTCGTTTTTGGTCTACATTTTATTCATTTCTCTCGATTCTTTGTTTCGTCGTCATCCATCATGCATGCATGCATATATATATATTATATATATATAGTGTACATACACACAGCCCACTACTACTTGATTTAGTTAGTGGTGTGTGTACCACCGTACGTACATAAATACATACATACACTATCAACTGCAGTCTGTTATAGCTACCTTAAGTCTTTGTTAAACTTTGATGTAAATTTATTATATGTATACAATAATAAAAAAAAAAAACAAACAAAAAAAAATGAAGTTATATAAGAGAGCACTCTTGATCCTCGCATCATCCTACTCATTCGCATCAACATTATATCGACACGTTGATCTCTACACCACTATCACTATCTCTCCTACTCAAAAAAAAAAAAACGTGCGATGATTACAGTAAGTAGGACAAGGACGAACTCTGTGACGTCCAAACATTATGCTGCAATTTGGATAGGATAATAAATCAATGACAAATTTACAATTATTTTTTTTTGTTTAATTTATTTTATTTTCTCAAATGAATAATTGGAATTTTCACTCATCAATAAACTCTAGTCTCGTGTGTGTGTGTTTGTGTGGTTTCTGTCTTTTGTTTTTCTTCCTTCCTCGATCACTACATTGACTCTCATCTCTCTCATCGAAGTGTGCTGGCGCATGAAACATCTGAAAATGCATCGCAGCCGTGCTGATCTCCCGTAACAACTATACAATTGTTTGTTTGTTTGTTTTTGCGTGTGACTAGAGCATAAAACGCGTCTCATCTCATATTCAGTTTATTCATATTTCTTTAACATCGGTCGGGAATGCATCATTGTTAGTGTGTTGTGTTTGTTTTACTCACTCTCTTCGTTTATAAATCACATTATCAATTTGCTTTTTCTTTCAGTTAAACATATGTACAGAGTGTGTGTGTTTGTTTTTGTATGATTCGCTTGGAAGCGATCGACAATTATTTACATACATCGAAATCGTTAAATATATTTACACAATCAATCAAAACAGAAAAATTTTCAAAATAATTTTACAAATTGTTGTTATTACATAAGGAGATTATATCTATTATATATTGCACATTTATTCATCTTCTTCGCGTGCCGTTTGTTTCCAAATTCTCTCATTCATCGTTTTACATCGAAATATTTAATTACATCATCATATCATTCCGCCTATCGAATTACAAATATATATTTATATGTATGTGCATATTTTTTTTGTTTTATATCCCTAAAAACACACAAATCGAGTGTCCAGTTTGCAGAAAATGATTACAAATGATTTGCCTCGAAGAGTGCGCAAAGACGAAAACCGATTCGTTTCAAATATTACACGAATTATCAATAGGGAAAGAGAGAAAAAAAGAAGGAATTAATCGAAGAAAACAGAAATCTCTACGAACATTCAAAAAGGCACAGGATGTCACATCGTGTCATCATCATCATCATCACGCGAGATATAGCAATTTTCTTGTGAGGGTGTGTGTGTATCTTTGTTCTGTTTTGAAGAATTGTTGAAATTGTTGTTGAAGAATGTTGAAACGCGCAAACTCACATTTCTCCGTTCTCCTCCTTTTCCTTCACCTGGTGTTGATGGTCGAAGATGACACTCTCGGAACCCATATTTATACATTCGGCGAAGGCACACAGACTTTGTTTCTTCGTTTTCAATTTTCCAGACATCACAATCTTCATCATCATCTTCATCATTATACAACAGCAACAACAATAACGAACGAAGTATAATCAATACTTAAAACTTTTGTTTCCCTGTATGTCATAGTCCACATCTTCTCACACAGTTTGCAATAATAAATTTACCTAAGTATAAATAGATAAAATTAATAATAATAATAATTAAAAAAAAAATATGTTGCACATCGTTTCGTTAAAATCACAGAAATCATTAAATAATCGTTTCAAAAAAAAATAAAATAAAAATAATCATTAAAATAAAACAAATACTGTAACTTATGTGGGACCGCCTTCTAGCTCCCCGCTCACCAATCGAAGACCCGGTAGAACCGATCCTCTTGCGTGTTGGTGGTTACGATCGGATGAGCGGTGCGAGGGGTTCATCAACTCGCGAGCTCCCTCTCCGGTGGAGCCCCTCCTCTCGTCGTTCCGTGCTAGAAGACGGACTCGGCGGACCGCGAGAGATGAATCGGGTGCGACGGACTGCGCGCCAACCTCTTCTTCGGCAGCTTCTCCAGAATCATCTGAAGCTTCGCGAAGGCCGGCCTGTGATCCTTCTTGAACGACCAACACAACATCAGAATGTCCTACAAAACAAAACAAAAAATATATTTCTGCCTTCATTGCTGCTGCTGCTTGTGCGCGTGTACCTTGAGATCTCGAGATGCGTGCAAATTGGCCAACGGATGCTTCATACCCTTTCCGACCTGCCAGATGATGGCCTCCGGCGGTTGACCTTTGAATGGCCATTCGCCTGTTAAAAGTTCATACCAAATCGTGCTAGAATGATAAAACGGATTATTAATTATAGAATTGTATCATTTGGTGATATATTGGTGATTTACCCGAAGGCGTAAACGTCGGATTCTTGACTGAAGGGAAGTCCTTGGTCGTGCGAGTTGAGGGCTCGCAGACAACGTTGAATCTCTGGCGCGAGGTAGCAAAGCCAACCAGGTGGAATCCCCAGGCGATCGTCATCCCTACGAAACGATTAAATTATTTTCTTATTTTATGCTCGTGGATCGATTGATTACCTTTTTCCGAAGCACAATTTAGTGACAGTGAAAATACCAAAGTCAGAAATGACCACTTTTCCATTGTCCATAAAAATGTTCTTGCTCTTCAAGTCTTTATGCACAATATCCTTCGCATGCAGATACCCCATCCCCTGCAAATGAAGAATAACCGTAACGAATTCGCATTTCTTATATGTCCACAGCAACAACTTACCAGAGCAATTTGTTGGGCTATGATGATGAGCTTGCTCAAATTGAACTTGTCCCTGAGGATGTGTATGTGATGGTAGAGGGTGTAGCCTCGGCTAAGGCTTGTGACGATCGTGAGGCTCTTCGGGTTGGTGCAGGTGCCCATAAAGAGCATCAGGTTCTCGTGCCGCGTCTTCTTCAACATGTTCAGCTCGATTTTATACTGATCGACGATCCGCTCGATCTCCTCCGATTCCATATCCAGCACTTTTATGGCGACGTCGCCGTGCCAGTAGCCGCGGTACACCTTGCCGAAACGACCGGCGCCGATCACCTCACCGAAAGTCAGATCATCGAACGGAATCTCCCATTCCCTCATGGACAACTGCAAAAGCAAGATTAGCCATGATCAACTGTTAGATGCTGCTGCTGTTAAACTTACGCTATTCTGTCGCGGCCAGCGATGTCCATCGATGATGGTGTCCGTATCGGAAACCTGACTGTCCTGCGAATTGATGCGAACCGGAGTCCGGTCCGAGTCGGTAGAGCTCTCCGTGATCGAAATCGTCTTGTCGCTATCCTTGGACTGCTGACTCGACGTCAGCTCCTGCAGCGACTTCTCCGGTGGGAAGTCACGCATCGGCGACGTGTCCGGAACATGGTCGGTTTGTATCAGAGGAATATCTGCACAATTTCACAATAATTAACATGTTTACAGTTTGTACGCGGCGGCGTTCAGAGCATACCGGGAAAGTTGAACGTCGTTTGCTTGGTGTTCGCCTGCGGCGTGATCACTGGCTGCAGGGCGGGACTCGAAGGAGTGGAACTGTTGCAGCTGCTCGAATTCGAGTCGGGCATCTGAAAGTAATCTAAATGCAATCGCAGCAAACAAAATATCAATTGGATGTGATTAAGACTTACGTTGTAAGAAGGAATGTTGGAAATCATCTGCGACTGCGGATGCGAATGCTTGCGGATCTTCGTTCCCGAGTTGATGTAGTTTTTGGTGTTGCTACCTCTGCCGGTATCCGAAGGATCGAAGGCTTGCGATTGTTTGAAGACGTACAGGAGCTCGTCAGGCAATCCGCAGGAGGCAATGGCCTTCTCCTCGCATTCCCTATGGCATTTGTACTTGCACTCCTTGCATTTGAGCCCCGTCCCAAAGTAGATGGACTTCATGCAGACGCCGCACGTGGCCATCATCTTGAAGGTCTTCTGGAACCTGTGCGAGATCTGGTGCGTCATGTTGCGGGTGACGATAGGCGGCGGCGGTCCGCGCACCGATTTATAACTGCTGTCGTCGCTGTCGGTGCCGGCGTTATTGTACGGTGGCGATTTCGCGGGACTCGTCAATATCGGACTCGAATATCCGGTCATCGCCTCTGGGCCGGGCTCCGTCGGTAGCCGCCCTCGACGGCCCACCGTGTTCGTCTCACGATTGCTATTACAACAATTAGTACAAGGACAATTATATATTGTATATATAATGTGTATTGATGTACTTACTTTCGCACGTCGTTATTGTCGATCTTTGCTAGCTGCGATTCGTGCGATTTGCTCTTCGTCAGCGGGAAAATGTCGGGAAGTAGGATCGACGATTGGTGATTGTTAACGGCGCAGTGCTTCATGCGGGCCGGAGGAGTCGTCGGAAACTTCATGCCTGCAAATCGAGAACGCACGAACACATTTAATCGTCGATCAATCGATCGATCTTTATCGCAACAACAAGTCGACAAGTTTCATTTACACTACAGATAATCTATATTTTCTTGAATTCTAAAAACTAAACTTCAGTAGTCTAATGATATTAGCGCAACTACATATGTACTTATATAATTGTCGCGTTACAATTAATCAAAAATTATCTGTAATACAATGAAATGAATCTAATTAATACTTTACTATAAAGTATGCTTTATGTAAGGTGAAAGAACATTGATAAGCAACATCGAACACTGGCCAACCAACCAACCAACCAACGACAGATTTATCAACAAGTTCTAGATCACATTGAACGCATGCAGCAAAAGGACCAGCGAATTATGAGACTAAACATTGAAATACACGCAAAGTGGGAATATACAGAGATAGAGAGAAAGATACAGATACAAACACACAGACATAAAGAGAGACAGAGATAAATGAATAGAACCCCCTATTGTGTTAGTTTTTTTTTTTGGTGATTTGATTTGGAAAAGAAAGAAAGGCATGCTTAGTAAATACCTTTTCCTCTAGTTTGAGGAGGGGGAGTAGTGAGGACACATTGAGCATTCAGAGAGCTGATACTTGAAACGGATGCAGAAGGTGGTATCGCACCTGCCCTATTGTTATTCAGAGACTCCTCGGAGGGGACTGAGGCTCTTGCAGCCCTAGACCTACCTTCCTTTGGAGACAGACCTATGAACGGATGTCGCAACTCCTCCCATGACGTCCAGTAGAGCGGGAAGTCTCCGGACTCGGCGTCGCCGTGTTTCAATATATCTGCGCAAAAGCAAACAACAACAACAACAATAATATATGCATCCAAATAATAATTGATTGTTGCAAATACACTGTACCTGTGTATCTCTTCAGATTGTAGAGAGCTTTGCACAGATGCTTGGCATCGTCCATGGCAGTGCCTTTCTCATTCAATATGTTCTTCAGTTCATGCTCAGTCTTTTCCTGCAGCTCCTCTATGGACTGTATCCTCTGGCACAGACCCTGTATGGAGCTCACACTGAGACCGACAACTTTCAGCCACTGGGTGAGCGATGGCAGCTGCGGTTTCTCCATCGTGTGCAGCTTGGATTTGGTGACCAGCTGATTGGAGAACATTTTAACAAGTTTGCCCTGAAACAAAGGAATGATGATTGATTTCTGTTTTCTCTCTCAATGTTTCTGTTCGTTGATGACAGGTAAATGAAAACAATGGAACTATTGCATTATTATTGTTGTTGTTTTAGTGTACCTCCAAGGTCCTGATCTCCTGCTGCGTGATGCCAGCAGTGGCCGAGCACTTTGTCCTGAGGCCCTCCAGTCTCTCGGCAGATATATCAATCATGTTCTGGATCATGTTCATAGTCTTCAGCAAATCCTGCTCTGTGCTGTTATCCTCTGCCATCACAAATAAACATATATATATATATCACAGTGGGTTAAGTATTAGTAGTGGTTGTGGTGGTGGTGGCGGCGGCTGCAGCAGCGGAGACGGTGGAATTCCTAAGAGCTCGACAATTTGGAACTAGCTAGCCGATAGATCGCCAACAACAACTACAACTGTCGACCACTTTCGCGACTTCACCGCTTCTATTTACATATCACCTGCACCCAACAATCGACTTATTTATTATTGTTGTTTTTTTTTTTGTTTTTCAAAACGATAACCGATTGCGGGACTCATTTGTCACAGCGACATTGGCAGCCATTTTAATGGCAGTACTGATCGCGACCAACTTCACCCTGCATTCAAACCTACCTCTACCTTTACTATCTTATTACCTAACTTACCCTTCATCATCATCATCATCATCATAATCATAATCATAATCAAACTCGATGCAAACTTATGCTTCATCACAACAACTGTTGATTCTTTTAACACCCATCACCTATTCTACTTCAAACAATTTACTATAAACAATTGAACACAGATTGCATTCAATTGTTCAACAGCCAACCAAACAAATCGATTCATTGTTACTTCAATTAAGTTATCAAAATTTGCAACAAATCCAGCATTAATTAACCTGAAACCATGCTACGAATTAATTACAGTCAGGATTCTGATAGTACGATTACATAAGTAGAAAAACTTTTTAGATTTAAACTTTGTTTTCGTCGTCGAATCAAGTGGGTCAGGAACCGGAACCGGAAACGCTAACCGAAATTAAAATCTTTAATCCAGTTTTAGTAAACAAATTTCACCTGAATCTTAAATGATTTGATTACGAGTATTTTCAAATGTTAACAACAAATGGAAATACACGCATGAATTGAAATTGCTCTTAAACAAACAGAGTGCAAATTACAGTTCAATACGTTCATATATAATTTACGGAATTGGTACATTCGCTCTCCGAATTGGTTCATTAATAATACAGAGCAAATATGAGCCGAGTTTCGAATTACAAATGCATACAATATTTATATATAAATCGTATTGTGGCTGCTGTTCATTTGTCGCAATTGCAATTAATAAAGTGTGCTATTGTCTAATTCCAGAAAAATTGAAGTTGAAGTATGCAACCAAAGATACAAGAAAAGAAAAGATAGTCTGAATGAAGTAAATTTTCGAAGAGGTACGCTCTGAGAAATCAAGTGTTCAATTAAAGTTGTTAAGTGATTTTTTTTGCTGCAGAGGAGAAATTTTAATAATTTAGAGAAAGTTAATCAGTAAGTTGATGCGGTTTCGCTTTTTGATTGATTTTCTTTGTGTAGTTTAAAATTGTTGGAGCACAGTTTGACGTATGAAATTGTTTGTTTATGCAACCAAAGAAGCGCGCGCGTTCTTCGGCGTACGATCAGCGGAAACGGAAGCGGAAGATGAACGAGTTACATTGAAGATGGTATAATGAGTGTAGTAGGTTCGAACGGCGCAAACGCCGGAAGTCGAGAAGGGACGTCCGCGCGTCGTCCTGCGTCCTGCCGAGAGCGGACACCTGTGGCTGGCGTCGCGACGCTTCGTTCAGTCGGTCGTCGCAAGCCGAAGCTGACGCAACGCAACGCAACAGAAACTTCCGGCTTCCATCAACGCTCAACCGGTGTTGCAAGTCGCGATCCGAGTCGGTGCCAGTCGTAAGCAGCAACAGGAGACGAAGACGCAGACGACGACGATGATGATGATGAAGACAAAGTCGAAAACGACGATCACGATGAAGTTCTTCGTGTGCTGCTCCCTTCTCGCCTATCACGTATACGCAGGTGAGTGAATCTGTTGCGTTTCGCCTGAAAGAAAGCCGGAAACTTATTCGCATTTTCACGCGAGTTAATTTCACGCCGGAAGTTTGCGATTACCGGCGCCAACTTTTCACGTTTTCTTGAAGTAAGAGAAGGGGAAAAGAGAAGAAGTACAATCGAGAGAAAGGGAACGCTCGAACGACTTCCGCTTTTCTCACGGTTTTCCGCATTTTCCACCCTTTCAGCGTTCGTTTCCGACTCGCACTCAATACTTCTCAAACGAATAAAAGGGATGTTGTCTTTCAATCGACACCCAAAATCTTTCACCCTTTCCAACTGCTTCATCTTCCAATATTAAACATTACACAGTTTTTCTTAAGATTAATTGCAAACAATAGAGTGAAATTGCATTGGAACCAACAATTAATGTCAATGGAAACGTAGCAGTTGGCTGTGGCTTTGCAATTTGTTTAATTGTCCGCAGCACTCTTGATTCGAGTCGAGTGTTTAAGCATATTTGAGAAGTATACTAAAGGGCACGGAAAATGCTAATTGGTATTAGAACGTAGAACCCGAAAAGCCATCAATTACACCCAGACACACACACAACTTGACATTTCACGAATGACATTTACGACATTTGAATATGAATTTAAGTTAAAATATTGATTAGATTTTTGATAATCAATAATTGAATTGAATTGAATCGAATTATTAATTTTTTGTATGTAATTTTCGTTATTGCTGATAATTGCGAAATAAAGACTGAACGTGTCAATAATAGGTTGCATTCCGGAAGATACGTTAGTAAAGCAGCTTAACGTAAGACGCTTTTTGCAGGCGCAGCATGTAAATAAATCAGGATTAAAATGAAAGAAATATAGAGAGACATAAAACAGGGGTTTGTTTCTTGCGAAAAGTTGGAAATTTTAATAACCGAAATCCTCTCCCCCTCGAGTATTGCGATCGTGTTTACGTCACGTTTCGCCTATTCGAAACCTTGTCCATCGCAGTAATCACAATACCTTAGTTACAAGAACAAAAAAAAAGAAACAAGTGTCGTTCCGTGCATCGTTAAACTCCTTGTCTCAAACCAACATTTTATATCTTTCGTTCGAGAGAAATGTAAGAAATAAGGGAGAAACATAAAAGAAAGAAAAATGCAACATCCGAGAGTCCCAAGAGGGGACGAACGAATGGGAAAAAAAATGTATATAGAATAAAACAAACTATAAGCTGAAATTAATTTGGAGAAGTCCGGGTTTGCGAAATCCCCCGG